AAGATATTCACAACAAGGTCCGTGCAAAAATTGAGAAAATGAATGAGCGTGTCACTAAAAAGATCAACAAGCGACGCAAGAAGATGGATTTCCAGCCTGGAGATCTTGTGTGGATCCACCTTAGAAAAGAGCGTTTTCCCTCAAAACGCAAGTCCAAGTTACTGCCCCGAGGAGATGGTCCGTTCGAAGTTTTAGCTAAGGTCAACGACAACGCATACAAGATAGACCTACCTGGAGACTATGGAGTTTCAGCCACGTTCAATGTCACGGATCTCAGCCCGTACTTTGAACCCGAAGATATTCCGAGTTTGAGGTCAAACTCTTCTGAAGAAGGGGAGGATGATGTACCCCGGGATGCTCCTACAAGCACGGAGGTTACACCACAAACTCTTGCTGGGTGTCTGATTATAAGCAAACTCCGCATGGGGTAGAAGTTCTTCCCATTGCCTTATATTCTTCTTGATGAGCACCCGTAACAATGTTCCGAGGGTTCGGTTCGTCACTTCTGTTTGGCCGTAGGTTTGAGGGTGGTGAGAGGTGCTAAACTTGAGCTTGGTTCCCATCTTTCTCCAAAGTGTCATCCAAAAATGACTAAGGAATTTGTTGTCCCGATCCGATACCATGCTTCGAGGAATCCCATGTAATTTAACGATGTCTCGGAAGTAGAGATCAGCGATTTGCGAAGCGTCATGTGTGGTTAAGCATGGCACGAAATGGGCCATCTTTGAGAACCGATCTACCACGACCATGATTGAATCTTTCCCTCGTTGTGTCCTAGGCAGCCTCGTGATGAAGTCGAGGCTAATATCTTCCCATGGAGCCGTGGGGATGGGTAGGGGAAGATACTTTCCTTGAGCTAAGGAATGGCTCTTGGCTGTTTGGCAAAGGTTGCACCGTTTGATGTAGTGCTCCACATCTCGTTCCATCTTTGGCCAATAGTAGTGTTCACGCATCATCATGTGGGTCTTCTCGATGCCAAAGTGTGCTGCTAGTCCTCTTCCGTGTACTTCTTCGATGAAGGTTTCACGAAGACTACATTTCGGAATGCATAACTGATTTCCTCAGAACAAATAACCGTCCTTAATGAGGAATTCTCCGTGGGGCCGCACAAGACACTTGGAAAATGTGTCTTTGAAGTCTTCATTCTCCTTGTATAGCTCCTGCACAAAATCAAAACCAACAATTTTTGCACTAAGGGCCGTTAGTAAGAGGTGTCTCCGAGAGAGGGCATCGGCTCCTTTGTTCATGGACCCATTCTTGTGCTTTATGGTGAAGGTGAAGGTTTGAATGTATTCAACCCATTTGGCATGACGGGGCCTGAGTTTGTGTTGCCCTTGAATGTACTTCAAGGCCTCATGGTCGGAATGAAGTATGAACTCCTTGCTAACCAAGTAGTGACGCCAATGTTCTAAGGACCGAACAAGAGCGTAGAACTCCTTATCATAAGTCGAATACCGCCTTCTCGTATCATTCAACTTCTCACTGAAATAGGAAACCGGGTGGCCTTCTTGGGAGAGGACAGCCCCTATCCCGACTCCGGATGCATCACATTTTACCTCGAACAGTTTCTCAAAGCTCGGTAAGGCTAACATCGGGGCATGTGTCAACCTTTCTTTGATGGTTTCGAAGGCTTGTTGAGCTTTTGAATTCCATTTGAACTTCTGGTTTTTGGTGAGGCCGTGATGGGTGCGGTGATGGTGCTAAAGTCACGCACAAACCTTCGGTAGAATGAGGCTAGACCGTGAAAACTCCGTACTTGTTGCATCGACGTGGGAATGGGCCAATCCCTTATGGCTTGTGTTTTCCTTTCGTCCACTTTGATACCATCACTCGAGATATAGTATCCCAAGAATTCCGTTTCTTGAGAGAAGAATTGACTCTTCTCCAGATTCCCATAGAGCTTCTCTTCGTCCAGTCTTTTAACCACTGATAAGTTCATTTTGTTCTTATTTTATTCTACATATTTTAAGCGTTATTGCACGAAAATAGTAATAAATTTACCCAATAAAAGTGTCTACTAGTGACAAAATCGATGTTTTGTCTCAAGAAGAATAAAATACATGTTCCAAATTAAATTAAGTGGATTTGTCAATTTTATGTCCAAATTGGATAAAAAGTTTCAGATTTTAAAGATCATAATACTTCGGAGGTACAAATCGGTGTTCAGGAGTCAAACGGACAAAAACGGAGCAAAAATGGGTCAAGATCTCGAATATATGCGAATTGGGCGCTGGATTCGGGTCCTAGGCGTCCAAAGTTGGACGACCATGGTAGTTGGACGCCCAAGCAAGGCTGGTGACACGGAATGACACGTGGCGCAGCAGGAATGGACGGAACACGTGGTCAGAGTACGGGCGTCCAAAGTTGGACGCCCAGAGGGTTGGACGCCCGCGTACCCTGCCCTATAAATACAGCGGCATCTCCACCATTCCAATCACCACTCTCAACCCCTTTTTGGGTTTTCTTCCTCCATTTGCTAAAAATTCATTGTATATTAGTCTTAGTTATTGTTTTGGGATATTTTCGGAGGATTTCAACTCCAGATCTATTCTGTTCCGCTTGTACGGAGGTTGTAAGTTGTTCCTTATTTAATAAAATTCTATTTTAATTTATGTTTGCATAGTATGAGTTAGGGTCCAGATCTCTGGGTCCGGACTAGTTTGGTTGTTTATTTTTTGATGTTAAATTAATGTTGGAATGGTTAATCTATTGTTCTTCCCTTATTTAGTTAATTAAACTCGAAGGATTTAATTAGCTATTTATTGAGAAAATATTGTATGCCAAAAGGCTATGATATTCAAGTGCAACGGATTAAGTACAAATCTAGAAATGGATGAGTAGTAATAGAAATATTATTATTCCAATTGTTAATTTAATATGATAAAATAGATCCAGATGATGTCTTGACCCTAGGTTCAGATCTATACTTATACTATGTAAACTTAATTTATTATTTTTACTCTGCTCCCTTTTTTTATAATCGTTCCGAGAAGACTTTCATAAACCAATCCTAATCTTCGCCTAATTAGAGTAATTAAACTAATTCCCTTCGTCCACTCCTCGAGAGACACGACACTCGGAGAGAAAACTAACCCTTTACTGGGAAGATTTACTACCCGAAAAACTACAACTGTCAAATGGCGCCGTTGCCGGGGAATGGCACGGCATTAGTTTAATTTCTTCTGATTAGCTTGGGTGAAGATTGGTTAGAACGATCTTCTCACTTCTTTTCACCAACCACCCGTAATAATTATTATGGATAACCCCAGTGGTTATTACGGTCCGCCTTCTTTCTACCAATCACCCAACCGCCCTCCGTACCATCCACCTTACCACCCACATCAGAACCCATATGATGATGACTACCAAGTCGACAATGGGTCTGACTACTATCCCTACCATGAGGAACCACCATATGATACCCCGTCTAAAAACTTTGGATATTCTCCATGCCAAGATTCTGATGGGGATAATTGTTATGAACCTCATGGTGATCACGATGACTATGACCACAACGGGCCTATATACGACGATCAGCCTGATCCTCTCGTCGAAGAAATAATAAGATTGGAACACAAAATCTTCTATTTCGACGAAGTTTTATTCGCTGAAGGCTCCTGGTACGAACCACCCTACTCTCGTGACTACACCTTGTTTGCTAAAGAACAAATTGAAGCAAACAAGGTGGCAATTCGAGAAAGAGCAAAACTTCTTGAATCAGTCCGGAAGGAAAAGGAGTTCGAAAGGAGATTATGCGAAGGATCAGAAATGATGCAGAAAATGCTGGACGACTTTCAAAGAGAGAGACTAGAAGCTGAGGATAAAGCTGATAAATTAGTCAATGATCTCCGCAAGGCTATTGAGCTTAAACGCTCCCTCCAACCTCAAGATCCACAATTGGAGGAAGTTAATGCTCAAAAAGAGGCTCTAGAACCTAAGATGTGTTCAAGTGTTTCTCGTACTATCCTTTTTTCTACATCACCCTCCATTGGAGAAACTGAACTAGACCCACAATGAAGGACATTTGAAATTTCACCACATGAAAACATGTCGTTCCCCTCATATTCTAAGGCTAAGGTTGCGTTCCGTTGGCCTGATCTAATCTGATCTGATTGCAGTTATTATCAAAGTTGTTTCTGATCTGGTATGATCTGATTATAATAAGATTAAGTAATTAGCAGAAAAAATAAGTTGAACGGAATGCTATCTAAAAAAGCCTTTTTAAACCGCAATGTAGATTTGGCAACCATGTGTTTCTGTTTCTGGATTTTCTTTCTTCCAACATCCACATGAAATCGATGAGCTATGACTTCTCTCATTTATCTGCTAGTCGGCACATGTAGAAAAGCCTTACCTCGAACTTCACATGCCGAAGCTTTCATATTAATGACATTAAAGCGAGGAATGCAAAGTAATTGATGTACTTCGTATGTTGAATAACAGTTGGATGGGAAAATTATAACGAAGATGGATAAAGAAATTTATGTGGCTCTGATACCAAATGGTATAACTCAAGATATGCAAATGGAATTAAGGAAAGTTTATGCTTAAATTATGAAATCAGGATCTAACTCCATAAAATTATGAATCATAAACTAATATACTCGTAAAAAAAGCCTAAGGAGAATCTCCATTGATTAAATCAAATATTGTATATTTTCATACTTTTACGTATAATAAGACTCATTATCTACAGAAAAGAATATAACAATGACTCCCTAAATTATAGGTCCAAAAACGACTCCCTAAATTTTAGGTCCACTAGTACATGACTTAGGGACTCACCAACTTAATGTATTTAATAAAATAAATAAAAATTGACTTAAAATCAATAATTATAACAAATATCATATCTCTTAACCCGGTTCTCTTTCAGGATGTTTGTCCTGTACCATAGGTTGTCAAGAGCATTGTTATCTCATCAGTTTGAATTGAGATGCAAAATATAAATACAGTGGCCACAATAAACAGGCCCATTTTTCTCTTGTATTGTTTTATTGGTGGTGATTACAGTTTTGTTTGTGGCTCTCTCATGTCTGTTTCTTCAAAACACAGATGATTACTAAAAATTTTGAAGATTATCCTGAACACCGGCTCAAGTTCTTTTCTTTACTGCGTGCAATAGCTACTCATTGTTTTACCGCTTTAATTCGATTGTCAAGCGAGGTTTGTTTTAGTCTTACAACTTTATTCATTGAAAAAATGTCCTTTGTTCCTCAAAGCTTAAAAAAAGGTATTGTGCTTATACTTGTTTTATTTCTGGTTTGTGGCAGCAACTAAAGCTTGTGATGGATTCCATCATTTGGGCCTTCCGGCACACTGAAAGGAATATTGCAGAAACCGGGCTTAACCTCTTACTTGAGATGTTGAAGAACTTTCAGGTATAAATTTATCCACTTGGATGATTTCTGCTTGCCATTAATTTTTGGCACTGTAGGCTCACAAATTTGCAAGGTTTTGTGGGGGCAGGTATCGGAGTTCTGCAACAAGTTCTATAGGACATACTTTTTGATCATCGAACAAGAAATATTTGCTGTTCTTACAGACACATTTCACAAGCCTGGCTTCAAATTGCATGTCTTGGTCCTTCAGCATTTGTTATGTGTGGTATGAGAATACTTTAGTAGAGCCAACCATTTCATTCAGTTATGTTTCTGTAACAACACACTAAATTATGGATTTTTCTTTCCAGGTTGAGTCCGGAATGTTGACTGAGCCACTCTGGGATGCTTCCACAGTTCCATATTCCTATCCCAATAATGTGGCATTTGTAATGGAGTATACCATTAAGCTTCTTAGTTCGTCTTTCCCGAATATGACTGCTTCTGAGGTACATATAATGGTACCCAAGCTTGTTCTGTCCTCTATTTTATTATTTACATCATCTTCCCTTTTTCATGAAATTGCTAATTCCAATGTATAGGTCACCGAATTTGTCAATGGACTGTTTGAGTCAACGAAAGACCTTGCAGTGTTCAAGAATAACGTACGGGACTTCCTTGTGCAGTCAAAAGAATTCTCAGCTCAGGTTTGTCTCTTACTTTACCTGCGCTTTTATTAGTTACACACAAACACACACCCAGAAATGGCTATATCCACCCCTTTCACATAAATTGGCTAAATCTACAGCAATATTAAATTTTTATTAATGGGTGTGGATTTAGCAAATATAGGTAACAAGTGTGGATATAGCCATTTTGGGTGGATTTAGCAACACCATACACACACACACACATGCTCACTACTAAATGTGCAGCAGTTAACTACAACGAGTGCTTTTTGTGTACATGCAGATATACTGAAACAATATATTGTTTAAATATTTGTAAATTGCCATTTGAAGGATAACAAGGATCTTTATGCTGAAGAGGCTGCTGCACAGAAGGAAAGGGAGAGACAACAGATGCTCTCAATTCCTGGGCTAATTGCTCCTAATGAGATACATGATGAGATGTTGGACTCCTAAGAAAAGATTTTGCTTATTTTGGCTAGGAATTCAATTTGCCTGCCCAGGAGCCACTTTATGGTAACCAGATGATCTTTAGTTTTTTCAAATCTCAGTCCCGTCTGTGGGTAGTATTTTCTCGTCCTTGTGCCGGGGGGAATAACTTGTAGACTACAGTGCACGGTGCAAAGGGAAGAGTATAGTCAGTTTAGTGATTTAGCTTCTAATTGAGAAAGAGCTATGTGATTTTATGCTTTCCCAGTTTTAGCCTTGGTAATGTAATTTGATTGGAGATTCTAGAAATTAGGAGCCTACCGTTAGGCACACTTGGTGGCGGTATCTGATTGAAGCAGGTTGTGTATACAACATTGGTGATGCTATGAAGAAACGTTTTTTGTCGTATTGGTATGAAGAGGCAATTTCAAAACTGGCTCTTCAAATAGATATTGTAGTACTTTGAGGGCCAAATAGCTCCGTTACCCCCTGTGGTTTGGAAAATTGGCACCAATACCCCTCTATTTTCAAAACTTATTTCTAAAGTCTCCGTGGTTTCAAAACGTTGAACCCACACCCCCTCTGATCATTTTCCGGCCATTTTCCGGCGAAGATGGGGCATTGGCGCATAATTTTTAAACCATAGGGGGCATTCGTGCTCATTTCTTATTTTCGTTTATTATTCTTCACTTTTTTTATAAATATTTTCTATCTCTTTTTCCTTTTCCTAGATTTTTTTAAATATATTTTCAATTTTTTATAATGTTTCAAAAATTTTCAAATTCTTTGTGTTTGAAATGAAAATAAAAATAAAAAAATTAACATATATTACATCTATCTCAAATTAAACATTTTCACTCTTTGTTACTTAGAATAATTTTTTGAAAAGTTCAAAAAAACAAAGAATAAAAAAATAAAAATATGGAAAAACGAAATGAAAAAAAATTAAAATACGCCAAAAAAGTCTTATACAAAAAAAATTGGACACGCCTAAAAAAGTCCATAGAATTAAGATGTCCAAAAAGGATATTCATTTTTATTTTTGTATTAATTTATTTCTTATTTTATTCCTCATTTTTTGAAGTTCTTAAAAAAATTACTTTTTCAGAAAAAAACAAAAATTGTTAATTTGAGAAGTACATATGCATTATATGTTATTTTTTCAAACAAAAATAACTTTAAATTTTAAGAACATTATAAAAATAATTTTTTAAAAAAACCTTTATTAATAAATGAAACAAAATAAGGAAAAAATGGAAAGAACAAAAAATATGCGAGAAATAAAAATCAGCACTGATACCCCTTATGGTTTAAAAAATATGCACCATTGCCCCCCTTCTTCGCCGGAAAAATGGCCGGAAAATGATCAGAGGGGGCACGGGTGCAACATTTTGAAACCAAAGGAACTTTAGAAATGAGTTTTGAAAACAGAGGGGGTATTGGTACTTATTTTGCAAACCACGAGGGGTATCAGCGCTATTTGGCCATACTTTGAGATCCCAATAGTTTCCTTTCTACCGATTTACTCTAGTCGTAAACCCTTTTCTCTTGTGAAGTAAAACAGTGGAACTGTGTTGAGTGATTTATTGTAATTTTGAGCGCATTTGCATGTTTTGTTCCCCAATAGTTATTTCACAAGTGTATTATGGTAATGTTTACAAAGTTTTCATTTGGAAAACAGGAAAATAACTTTTGGAAAATGAGTAAGGCAAAATAATTTATTTTCTTGAAGTCATTTTCCTTTTCTGTTGTTTGGTTGGAAGTAGCAAACTCTCTATTTAAGCTCGATTAATTTTCTAGAAAATTAAAAATTCAAAATCAAACCAACAACATCAAACCAACTATTGCTAAAAAAAATTCAACTGTACTATTTATCGAGTTGTGCGAGAAAACCCCAAATAATCAACTAACAAGCGTAGTGGGTTCTTTAAAAAAAGAACCCTAATGGTGCATTGACGATGACAGTAGAACTGAAACGATGCCACATTTGACATGAACACAACAAAAGTCAAACCAATTCAATTGAATTTCCATCATCTGATCTTCATTGTATGGCTGGCAGGGGCCTTGTGTGGGGATGGCATTGACGGTTTGGGTTGCCGATGGAGGCGGCAATTTGCTTGGGGATAGCGAAGGCAATTTCTGAATAAGATGGTGCTGGTGATTTTCGATGATGGCATTGGAGACTGAAGGATGGATTGGTGGAGGTGACTAGGAAGAAAAGAACGAGAAATGACTTTCTGAAAATTTATTCAGAAGTCAAATTCTACTTTTGAGGCTATGTTTTTTATGTCAGGGAGTTTATTTTCTGTTGACTCTTTTTCATTCTTGCCAAACACTTCTCTTCTATAAGTCTTTTTCTTTGTTTCCAAACGGACCCTAGTTTCAAAGTCTTGTTATTACTTCAAATTTTTTTAAATCTCAAAACAAACAAACCACTAAAAAAACCCTCGATTTATTACTATCGGTTTCACTTTAGTTCTCGCACAGTCAATCATAAATTGTACTTAATATGGAGTATGGGTCTTTCTCCGATACCCAAGCAAATGTGAGGGGGGCATATGCCCCTCCATTAAATGTCTACCACGTGGACTTATGACCATGTCAATTGGTATGTTCTCCATGCCATTTAGATTTTCAAGAATTGGAAATTGAGCCTGTTTCCTTCATCCGTTAATTCCTCAAAATCGGCTTTCATTAACTTGTCGCTCCTTGTTTTTTTAATAAAAAATCAATCAAATTATGAATAAAACATAAACTTTATTTTCAAAATATGTGTGACATATTTTTATCTTTAAGATAGAAATGTATACTTTAATATTATGACACTATATAATGTTATTACACAATACTTTTCGATATTATGTCAAAATTATTGATATTGAAAGTCTTATTCTGTTAATAATAATTTGAAGCTCTTATTTTAGTGTTTTCTTTATGTTTTATCCCTACTTTAATCTTTTTTCTTTTTTTTCATTCTGTTTTTCAGTTAAAAGCGGATTTAAATTAAAAAGGTGTGATAATTCAGTTCCCTCGTGGTTTGGACAATAGATCGATACAAATAACCTCTCTATTTTAAAAACTTATTTCTAATATCTCTACGATTTCAAAACGTTGCACATGCACCCCTCTGACCATTTGTCGTTCATCTTTTCGGGGAAGAAGGGGATTGATGACTAATTTTCAAATCACAGAGTCACATCCCAATTTCTTATTTTTTGTTCATTTTAAAAAGTATTTTAAATTGTCCTTTATAATCTTTCTAAAATAAAAAAATCTTTTTATTTGAAAAAAAATATAAATGAAATGAAAAAATTAAAATATACAGAGTACTTCTTCTATAATAACTAAATCATTTTCATTTTTTCTAAAATAAAAGCAAACACTTTTCGAAAAAATTAAAAAATGATGAAATGGAAAAGTAAATAAGATAAAAAAATGAATAGAAAAAGGAAATGAAAAAAATACACTTATAGATAAAAGAAAACGTAAACATGTAGTGAGCTGATAAAGTTCTTTTTTATGCATCGAAAATAAGTAATTTTTTAGATGTCCGAAAAAGGTTAATGTTTTTAATTTAAAATTAAAAATATGATTTTTTTTATTAAAAAATGAATCTCTTGGGCATCGGTCTAAAAGATTACCCTTATTCTTTTTCATCTTCTTGAAAAAATGTCATCCAAAAAAGATTAAATTTCCAGACGTCCCCAAAAAGAGACTTATTAACTCATTTCATGACTGTGTATTACCTTTTCAATTAGAGTGTATTTTTCTTTTTTAAATTCCTTTTTTTCCATTTTTTTCTATTATTTAATTGATTTTTCTATTTTTTATATTATTATACTTTGGTAAACAAAAAATGAAAATTTTTAAATTGAGACAAATTAAGTATTTGATAATTTATTATTATTTCATTTATTTTTTTATTTCAAACACAAAAAATTTTAAAATTTTAAAACATTATAAAGAATAATTTTTAAAAAGAAATGGAAAATAAGATAGTGGGCTCTCATACCTCCCGTAGTTTAGAAAATAGCTAACAGAAAGGCTTAATACACCATCTTTTTATTATTTCTAAAAATTGAAATGACATGGAGTCTTTTGTCCACATGACAGAAATTTAATAGAGGGGCATGCATGCGCCCCTCATTTGCTTGGGCATCGGAGAAATATCCAGGGAGTATATCCTTTGTTTTGACTTATTTCACTTTTTAAAATCGCTCATACTCTATCCCAAAAAGAATATTATATTTTACCATTTAAAAATCATATACTTTTTTATTTTCAATAATAACTTGATAAAATAATTGTTATCGCAAGGCATTTGTTGCAAGCACATGTTTTTATTAAAATGTAACACTGTGCAATAGTTCCATAAATATGATGAGTTAATGGCAGCATTGATAATCTTTTACTTAAAAAGTTAACAATAAAAAGAAATACGTTGTCTATTTCTTGTAGGCGTAGAGAATGTTAGTCGTTGTGCCCACGCCTTAGAGGGGGGTGAATAAGTCGTTTAAAAACTTTTTAGAGTTTGATAAAAACGGTGTTGGAAAATGCGAAAGGAATAAATAAAACACAGAAATAAAAGCGTAAAGTAAAAGACACGCCGATTTTATACTTGTTTGGGAAACCCCCTACTCCAGTACCTTAAGGCTCCTCCTTAAGGATTTCCGAATCCACTAAGCCCCGGTCTCGTGAACTCCGTCAAATCACCGCACTAGTTTTGGAAAACAACCATTGCCAATAGGATTCACTCTGAGATTTTACAACGGCTATCTCGAACCGTTTACAATGAAGATTTCGTGGCTATCTTCGACCATTCCCCCAAGGATTTCAAAGGCTATCCTTGAACCTTTACCCAAGGATGTATACGGCTATCCTTAACCGTTACAACGTGAGAATTTAACGATTTTCTCGACCGTATAAATGTGTGTTTGATGAACACAAACAAGGGTTCTAGACAACGGCTTGAATATAAATATGAAGAACAAAACTTAGCCGGTGTAGAACGAAATTATACTCTCTCAAAAATACAATATAAACTTATGAATATGAGAGTATATATCTAAAACACAAGCTCAAAGTGTGTGTATAAAAATTAGGAATTTAAGGCTCTTAAAATAGCCAAAATATTGAAAATTATGAATAAAAGAATGAACACACTTAGAATATAAAGAGAGGATGTTTGGAGCTTTGTTTCTTATTGAAATATGAAGGATTAAGCTTGTATTTATACAGGAAAAGGTTATTAAGCCGTTGGAGACAAATTTGGAAGGAATTTGACTAATTAAATGTGATTAGATTTGAAATCCGGAATTTGAATTTTTTTCTCCAACGGTACAATAGGGGGTTCTGTTCAAACGGTATAGGGTACTATTACAATAGTGTTTAGGCTGTTTCTCTGCCTTAACGGTCGGTACCTGTGTTTGTGGTCACAGTAGGGGGTACCGCCATAGTGCAGAAGGAGTTAATCTCCATTTTACGGTCAGTACCTACATGTGGGTTACGGTAGGGGGTACCTTCTCATATTGACTCACGGTACCCCTTACGGTAGGGGGGTCCCGACCTGATAGTAGGGGGTACCTTTTCATATTGGCTCACGGTACCCCTTACGGTAAAGGGTACCTTTTGACTGTTTTGATGATTTTTTATATTTTTGTCCAAATCATTTCCAATTTTGTTTAAAACCTTTTGGATGTTTGAAAATGATTATAAGAAGGTTTTAAACATATTTTGGGAGTGCTTTTGAGCTTGTGAATATAGGTATATAAAGTCATATCCTTACATCGGTTTCTACCTATATTCTACGTTAGTTTAGTGTTTCGACTTCATTCTTGAGAACCGAATCTTAATGAATTCTTGTTCCGACCTCCACCTCTCTTTCCCCTTATCCTCACGTCGCTTAATCAGCTATAAATGGTAACTCAATTTATCTCTTCCACATTTCAATTTGATTTTGGTTTATCGTTTACATAGATATGATGGGTTTGAGAGTATGGTTTCTTTTGTAATGAAATTATGCTGCCAAAACAGCAAGTTAATTGCACAGATGGAATTTTTGTTGTTGAATTTGGTATAATATTTTCACACATGATATGCCTAAACTGAGATGGAACTCTAGACACTTGTGAAATTATTTCTGTTTCAATATTTTCTAGAATTAGATATATTTTCTAAAATTAGATTTGAATTGCATTGTTTTTTTCATTTTTGTTACCTTGAAACAAACAAACACTGCAAAATCCGACTAACACACTTTTAAAATAAAATCAGAGTTAAAAAACTTAATTTTCAGCAAGATGCAAAAAAAGATTCTCAAATGGAATTGCACAAATCCTAACTCTATATGTCTTCTAATTTATGGACATCAAGTTACATCCAATCTATAGATGGCTTTTGATTCATTCTCCATTGAGGTGAAATATCTAAGGCCTCTGAGGATAAGACACTGCCAGTTAGAAAGAGGACAACTGCTTAAACCAACACAGGATGATGATGATAAGATTGAGAACAATACTAGGCTGTAGAAGATTTAGAGGTTGAAGGTGACAATGCCGAAGGTATGGGACACTAACCTTGATTATGATGTTTGAGTGCTCTAGATGTTTAGAGATCAAATATTTAGATTTCATCTGAAATTAGTGAAATCTTCCTTTTAAAAAAGTTAAAGGAAGATGTAATGTACAATTTTGCTCTATCTTATCTACCTGACCAGTTTGATTCAAAACCTTGAGTAACTTCAATGTGAATATACTCAATACGGCCTGTATTGAGTATATTCTTTTGGAATAAATTAATGCATGTATTGGGAAATTGTGAACCCAAGTTTCGTCAGGCCCCTGGAAATGGTGGCAACGCCCTTGGGTGTTAAGTGAGTTTTAACGCATGGGGCGTTAAACACCGCCCCCCTTTACCGTTATTCGGGCATTAAAAGGTTTGCGTAATTGCGTTAAATCATTGACGCAACTTTAAACCATTGACGCAACGTTCAATCCAATTTTCGATCCAATCCAACGATCCAATTTTATTTGCAATTGGCAGAATCTGACCGTCCATTAGGAAGGTCATATTTGAGGTTTCCATCTCTCTCTAACCGGTGGACACGATCTCTACAAGGCAAACCCGATCTCTAGGCAGACTCTCCCTCCTCAAGAGTACCGTGGATCATGAAGCGGCATTACATGGAGGACGGCAGCCTTGTGTGATTACTAGGGAGAATTCCAAACGCCACGAGTATTTCGAGGCGTACCAGTGAGAATCAAAATTGAGGAATTAGTCATCCAATTTTCGCTCCCAAAATTAAAGGATATGACCGACCAACTTCATCTCAATCAACAAAATCTAGCAGTCAATTTCGAAGGGCAATTGACGTACAAGAGGCTAAAATATCCAAACGCGGAAGCAAAACCTATAGCGTATCTTTTCTTGAATCTGAGAGCGGAAGGAAAGATATATTCATAGCCCATCATCCCTGGTCGATTGAAAAATCAGTCTAGCGTCAAAGAATCTTCATAGAATCGCCATGCCGTCATGTGCAAAGAAGCTAAAAGCGGCCAAGAGAAAAAAGGGTTTGCAGGTAAAGGGGCACGCCAATCCACACAACTTCATTCTCATGGTACGCTCTCTATAGTTTATACTCTTTATTGGGTAAAGAGGCAAATGGGTTTTCTTTATATGTGTAGAGATTAGGTTTTTGTTGTTGTTTTTGATTAGGTTTCAAAGTAATTTCTTTGAAACCTTTAAGTTGAGCATGCACTTCATTTTAAAATCGTCTCATTTGTCTATCACTTTTGTGTAATACTCCTAAAAACACCAAAATTTTCTTGATGTGTTTTAAAATAAAGTACATACTCAATTAAAAGGTTTCAAAGAAAATCGCTTTCCAAAGAAAAAAATACATCTGGAGGCAAGTTTTTAAGTCGATGAACAAAGATTTAGAGATAATTTCCTACATTTTAAACAAAGCCATAAATATTTCTTTAGATGGTCGCTGATACAAGAAGCTTTGAAACATTTCTCTCTCTTTACTTTTTAAGAATTGTTGATGGTACATCACTTTTTAATCAACATGTAGGTTGAAGTGATACTCTTAGAAATAGTCTTCAAATATGTAAATATAAGAAATGTGATAATGCTAATTAGTGAATAATCTTTTTGACCAAAATTAGCCTTATACATTTTTATCCCTCAGATATGATCATTGCACTGTCATAGTACACAATTCTGACATAGTTTTTTTGATTTAAAAACATGCTGTCTAATATGGAATTTTATAGGAAGCCTTAAACTAAAAGGGGCTCAAACTTTCCCTTCTTCAAATCCTTCAAAAGTTTGTAAGGGAAAAAAAATTTTCATCTATCTTTTATTTTCAAAAACTGCTCTCATTGATCACAAGGACATTAATAAAGCTTAGAACATTAAAAAAAAATGTATTTCTAGCTTTTGTATTTTTACCAAATACAGTTGTACTTAACTATGGTTTGAAATACTAAGTATTTATCGCCGAAAATTTTGATGGGCACACTACATTAGTGACTTAGGAGCATATTTCATCCTTAGATTGACCATTTCAAGTATGGAGCATTTGGTTGATCGTGTACTCAACCCAAATGAGACGACTTTCATTTGTTGTACTTTTTTCATTTGTGAGAACATTATATTGTTATCTTCTGGAGTTTACATCTCTTTTCATCATGTGAAAATGAGGATCTACAGCATGCTATTCGAGTAGATGGACTGGACTGATACTTAAATTTTAACAATAACATGGCGTTAGTAGCACTAAAGAAACATGTCTTATTTATTATTCCGTATTAAAGTTGTTCAAAAATTTAGTCTTACACTCTTACTTGCTTATATAACATCTTTTTGTTAATAGTTTTAAAGACATTTCCTTAGACATGTCTTATTTTATGGTGGAAGGAAAATATAATGGCTTCCAAAATGTGGGATAATACATCGTGTATTCATCCCAAATAACATGACTTTCATTTGGTGTATTTTTTCTTTGTGAGAACATTATATTTTTATATCGCAAATCTCATTTTTAAAACTTGTGGACTTTACATCTCTCTTCATCAGGTGAAAATGAGGTTATATGTTAGGCCAATCGTGTAAGACGGGATGTCAACTTTTTGATTTTCTGTTAAGGAACAATTTTCACTTAAAATAATAATGCATGGAGTACTCTTAAAGTTTAAAAATCATTAATTTTAAGTTAAATCTTGAATAATGGAGGAATTACATTCTCTTACATTGCATTAAGTAACTAAGATTCTATGAATAAAATGAAGAAACAAAATTGAAGGTCAAACAAAAACAGAGCACTACATAGTAACTAATATAAGGTTAACTTTTAATAGAAATTCTGATGGATTTTGTTTATATAGGATATACAGATCCATTTTTATCTTGAATTTTATTGATCAAAAGTGGATAGTTTTATTATCACACAAGGAATTAACCAGAACTCGCCGGAGTTGACCAAAACCGGCTGTCAAATCCGAAGTGGATAGTTTTATTATCACACAAGGAATTATCTTGAATTTTATTGATCAAAAGTGGATAGTTTCATTTACCTAGCTATATATAATTACTGTGAATATTTTATATTTCATTTCCCTAGCTATACACAATTGCTGTGAATATCAAAAAATATTATTGCACGTGTACCTTCTGATGTTTAGATAAAAGGTCATTCAATATTTTCATCACCCGAAGCAAAACTCTCATATACTTTGATCTACCATCTAAACTATCATTCTCATTTGACATTCTCAATATAAAAAAATATTATTGTAGTATTCAGATTAATAATTCCAAACTGATACCACAACAATGAATAAGTTGTGCAAATTTTTTACATCTTTATAATGACGAGCCATTAGAATATTCTTTCTGTGCTATCAAACCAAATCCTGGGAAGGCACCTTCACGCTCAACATATTCCTTGTTTTAAGTGCCATCAATCTATTTTCTAGAATTCCGAGAGTCTAGATTCGTATCAACCACAGAATAGTGGGTGTTATTTTTTAGTTGAGTTGAATCTTTTTACTTGACTCCGAGTTTTCACATTTGCATACACTTTGTTTTTGTGTGGGGGGGGGGGGTATTTTTAGGCCTCTATTTAGTTTTATCTTTTTTCACTTTTCAGGGCTTTGGTTTTATCCTCCCTTTCCTTTGTACTTGATATTTGATCCATTTTCAAATGTCTTCACAGTTCTCATGTGTTTGTTATCTTACCTTTTGCTCGGAATCCTTCTATTAATTGTTAACAGGTGATAAGAAATGGTGTTGGTGTAAAAACATGTAACCTTCTGATCCATCAAAGAAACACAATGTACACTGCAAAGTTGTTTCTCAGTATCACAAATCATGAACCTCAACACTTCCCAAGCTGTAATTTCAATAAACCCTGTGCACAGAGTTCTAATATTTCAAAAAAAGGGCTAGCAATGGCATCGATGGATCTTTGAAGGAAAGAAAAAAAACAAAAAAGTCCACAACACATTAATTTTTTTAGTTTCCCTATTGCAGGCACTTCTGTTGGACATAGAACCAATTGACGCATTCTACACAAGGTTTACCTAGCCACGTGCCTCATTCAGAAGGCCAGGTCTAAGGGAGTGTCACTGTTCCTTCCTCCTGATGTTATGCTTGCTGACAGGTTCTCTACTTTTGGAAAAACAAATTTGAAGGAAAGAAAATTCGCATGATTTAATGAATTAAAAAAATATCATGTGAATTTCAAAGAGTTTTAATCAAATTTGAAATTCCTCCATATTCTCCAAGGTAAAAACCAACCCTAAAATTTTTGCTTTCTAGACACACCCAAGGATTATCATTCCTTTTGAGTATTGAGGTGCAAATTAAATGATGAATGATAATGGTTGTGATTAATCACCTGGTTAGGGCAACTGCAATACCAGATGGCTGGATTGAGTTAGATGTTGGAAATGATACAATCGAATATTTGGGGAAGCTTTGGATGCCACCCAAACAATTCTTCTCCAACTGGTCACATCTCATAATTACTCCCACACTTCTACTAATTACGGATCATGATTAGCATGTACGAAGCTTGTACGGTAAGAATGACATTTCTTTCTCTGGAGGGATCAAACTCTCTTGTTATACGAAGAACAACACAAAACTTTATCTCTCTAAATACTATTTCTAATCTTGCTTGTTATAATCACTTACTAATCTTAATTCTCTATGGATTCTCCATCCATCAATTGTTGGTGGTGTTGTTACTAGGCCATTGCGAAGAAACTGGTACAGCTTAGTGGACAGGGAGTGACGACAATAATCCGAGGACGAAACTCGGTTGCAGAAGTCGAGAAAGTTGGGCTTGGAGCTAAGATGAGCCATATCTCGACAGAAGATCGTGCAAGCCGAGACCTACTTGAAAGCCGGTACAAAGCCGGTACTGTAAACATGACATTTCTTTCTCTGCAGTATCAAACACTCTTCTTATACGAAACGCAGCACAAAACATTGTCTTTGTAAATACTAATTCTGATCATGCTTCTTATAATCACTTACTTTTCTTATTTCTCTATGGATTTTACATCCATTAATTGTTCGTGGCGTTGTTACTAGGCCATTGCGATTTGCGAAGAAACTGGTAGAGCTTAGTGGACAGGGAGTGACGACAATCATCGGAGGACGACACTAGGTTGCAGAAGTCCACAACGTTGGGCTTGCAGCATTCACTTTCAGTTGCATACATGTTTCATGTTCCACGGGTCGCAAGCTATTAAAGTTCTTCCGATTAAGGGTAGACTAGAAAAAATAATGTAATATACTACTCACTTCCACATATGAAGTAATTTTGTTTTCAAGTGGACTGCTAAATAGAGGAGTAATTGGGGTTCTGCCTTATGACAGGGGAGTACCTCCCAAATGCACCGAACTTGGATTTTTTCTTACTCATGGAAAAGGTCTTGGAAAATGAACAACAATTGCACGTACAACATCGGAGAATTGGGACCATTGAAAAATGAAAGGTATGTCTCCTAATTCGTTGCTGTGATGCTTATATCTTAAATCCTTTTACTATTTTTAAATCTTTCAACAAAATGTATTTTATACAATTCCAACACCTTATAGGGGTTCATCCATATCCGTTTACAAATAATTACTACATCCCTATGAAAGATTTTCATTTCTAAACTTTTCCCCTGTCCATAAACAAAGTAAAATTAGAATAAAATAACCTCTTTTAATCACATTTAATGCATTTTTAATAATACCAATCACAAGTAATAAGTTAAGTATGTTCATTTTAATTAAACCAACATATAGATTTTCAAAGTGTAGGTGCAGTAGGGATGTAGAATTACATGCCATTACTTCTCTATACAATTGGTTCACAAAAAAAAAATACTCAATCACCCACTCTAAATAATCCTTAAATTTAAAGTCTGTGTGTTTTTGGCAAATCTTTAATTTCAAAACATACATACTCTTAACCCAACTACAAGAACATTAATTGAATCCTATTACATAATTTATACTTCCGCTTTCCTAGCATCAGGCACATCTCCAAATGTCAGGTTGCATAATTTTGTGAGACGCTTATTGCAATGTTGATTACACAGGAAAATATGAACCTGATGTCGGGAGTCATACACCAGTTTTTTACTAATCGGCAAAGTTGATTTCCAATGTTGCTGATGTGGTAATATACGAATCTGATGCGCGAGTCAACTGCCATTTATTATTTTGAAAAAGGATCTAAACGTATAATGAAATAAATTTTACTCTTGATCATTACTTCTCATGTACACTCCTATGCACAAGTACACATAAAATTTCGTACTCGGATTTCCCCTAATCATTCACACAAGGAATTAACCAGAACTCGCCGGAGTTGACCAAAACTGGCTGTCAAATCCGAAGCCACGTTCCGCATATTACGACGGCAGTTGTTGTGTCGATATCTTCTTTCTCCGGATGAGCCTAGGGTTTCCATCTTCACTCTACGAACATAGATCTCAAATGGCAGGAACGATGTTCCACTTCTCTCGATACCTTCGACAGAAGCAACTGCAAATCTACCTAGATCCAGTTCATGATATACCAAGTTCCTGATCTAGATCTGGTCAACTCGAAAAATGAAACGGAGAAGAAGAAACAAAAGGATACGATTATGAAGAGCAGAAGAGGTAATTTAATTCTTGATTTTTAGTTTATGGTGTGGGGATGGATTCCTCGAGAATCTCTTGATCTCATCCCAATAATAAAGTTGGTCAATGGGGGTAAAACTAACTTTTGTGTGATCTTTGTGTTTTGGGTGGAAAATGGTAATAATATTCTTGGACATTAGAATTAGCTTCATGTGATATGAATCCACGAGACTGTGATGTTTTAGAATGTAGTGTAATTTGTTCCTAAATGCGTTTGACTCTATCAAGGATTCAAGGTATTAAATTGCAGACCACATCACTTATTACATTTTTTATGTGAACATAAAATTGTTGCACGCCTTGGCCACACCACACATCACAGCAGTGGCTGCATCTGCAATTTAAATATATAATGCAGTAGGTGACCACTGATTTCTTGCATCATTTTCTTATCTGATTTAATTCCGCAATATACTTTTTTATCTGATTGTGTTGATCGCTATGGTTAGGTTTTAAACACTTGAGTCCCATCTTGTCAATGCAAAGGAGTGCATTGGGTGTTTCAACATATAAGGAGCAATGGTTTGAAGCCCAATGGAGCAACCTAGGACTTGCAATGGAGGTATTCATTTACCTAGCTGTATATAATTACTGTGAATATTTAATATTTCATTTGCCTAGCTATACATAATTGCTGTGAATATCAAAAAATATTATTAGACGTGTACCTTCTGATGTTTAGATAAAAGCTCATTCAATATTTTCATCACCCGAAGCAAAACTCTCATATACTTTGATCTACCATCTAAACTATCATTCTCATTTGAAATTCTCAATATAAAAAAATATTATTGTAGTATTCAGATTAATAATTCCAAACTGATACCACAACAATGAATAAGTTGTGCAAATTTTTTACATCTTTACAATGACGAGCCATTAGAATATTCTTTCTGTGCTATCAAACCAAATCCTGGGAAGGCACCTTCACGCTCAGCATATTCCTTGTTTTAAGTGCCATCAATCTATTTTCTAGAATTCCGAGAGTCTAGATTCGTATCGACCACAGAATAGTGGGTGTTGTTTTTTAGTTGAGTTGAATCTTTTTACTTGACTCCGAGTTTTCACATTTGCATACACTTTGTTTTTGTGGGGGGGGGGGGTATTTTTAGGCCTCTATTTAGTTTTATCTTTTTTCACTTTTGAGGGCTTTGGTTTTATCCTCCCTTTCCTTTGTACTTGATATTTGATCCATTTTCAAATGTCTTCACAGTTCTCATGTGTTTGTTATCTTACCTTTTGCTCGGAATCCTTCTATTAATTGTTAACAGGTGATACGAAATGGTGTTGGTGTGAAAACATGTAACCTTCTGATCCATCAAAGAAACACAATGTACACTGCAAAGTTGTTTCTCAGTATCACAAATCA